TCCCCCACACCCCCCCCCCCCCCCCCCCCCTCCTCTGTGACAGCTCCTGCGGGTGCCCATCCCCCACCACGTCCAGTTTGAGCTGGGTGAGTGACAGCCCGGGGGGGGGGTCCTGAGAACCCCACCCGCCCCCCCGACCCCTCCTCTTTTTGAGGGGGTCCCAACCCTTCCGGAAACTGCTGCAAAGGCGGCCCCCAGAGCTGGGGGGGAGGGGGCTTTGGGAACCCTCACCACCCCTGGCCGGGGGGGGCTGTTAATGGGGAGGGGTCTCCACCGCCGCCTCCCCCTCAGAACGGACCCGTCCGGAGCTCCTGTCGGAGGAGACCCAGCGGCGATTCCTGCAGGACATCCAGAACTTCCAGGAGCCGGAGATCTCCCGGCAGCTGGAAGACTTCAGGTCTCGAGCGGGGAGGGGGGTCGGGGGGGTTAATCTGGGGGGGTGGTCGGGGGTCCAAGCGCTCGGTGACCCCCCCCCAGGTCGAAGCGGTTGATGGGGATGACGCCGGGGGAACAGGAGCTGTCGGAGCTGGAGTGGAGCCGCGCCCGGGACCCCTCAGGATGCGAATCCAAGGAGAAGCAGCTGGCCGAGCAGCTCCTGGCTCGCCTCGAGGAGATGCAGTGAGTGGGGAGGGGGCTCCAAACCCCCCCTCCGGCTCCCCAAATACTCGGGAATTCCCTCCCTATCGCTAAGTCCGGAAATCTACGGAACGCCCCCAAAATCCCTGGGACCGCCCACGGCTCGTGGAGCCGCTCCTAAATTAGCATCACTCCGCCCCAAAGGCATGTTTGCCTCCTCAAATCCTTGTAAAAACCCAAAAATCCTTGTGAACCCCCCCCAAATCCTTGTGAACCCCCCCAGCTCCATGGAACCACCCCCTAAAATTGGGTAACTCTTCCCCAAATTCCTATAAACTCCTCAGATCTGTGGGTTTGGACTGGTCCTAGGTGAGATTTGGGGAGGGTCTGATGAGATTTAGGTCTCAGAAAGGATTTGGGGGATTTTGGGGGCGATTTGGGGCTCATCCTCCTCTCCCTCCGCAGCCTCACCATCTCTTCAGATGAGGAAAAAAGGTGAGGGGGTCTTTGGGGGGGGGTCGGGGGTCTGAGAACGCTCAAGGGCTCCCGGGTGGGTTTTGGGGACCCCCCAAGACCCCCAAATTCCCCCGGACCTGCCCTGAACGCCCCTCCCCAGCTCCGTCATCTTCGGCGCCATCGTCGCCTACATGAAATTCCTGGGCGTCAGAACCAAGGGTGGTGACACCAAAAAATCCAAATCCAACTTTTTCCGTAAAAAGGTGAGACCCCCGCGCCCACTCCCCAATTCCCCCCCGACCCCCCCGACCCCTCCTGACTCCCCCTTTCCCCACAGATTTCTGGGAAGGAGCCCCAGGGAAAGGCCCGGAAGGGTTTCAGCCTCCCCGGGGCCGCTCTGTGGGGTCGCGACGCCCACAGTGAGTGGGGGGCTATGGGAGGGGGGGTGGGAGACCCCTCCCCACCTTCTGCAGGACCCCACCCTTTTCTGCTCCCCTCCCTCTCAGGCGCCTCCTCCCCACATTTTGTTTCGTAGGTGCCGAGTTCAGGCAAAGCGAAGGTACCCCTGGACCCCTGCCCCACTTATCCCCTCCCACCTGGGGGGCTCGGCCTCCCCCGTGGGACCCCCACCCCGTTTATCCCCCAATCCCGGGGGGGGCTATAGAGACCCCCACCCCATTAACCCCTGGCTGTTGACCCCTCCCACCCCATTAATGCCCCCACTGAGCCCCTCCGGCCCCCCCCCACCCCACTGAGCCCCTCCAGTTTTTGGGGGAGTTCACCCCCAGAGCTTTTGGGGGCTTCCCCTGACTCCCCCTGTCTGCCCCCCAGCCGAAAAGCCCCCCCACCCAGAGCGGAGGGGCCCAAGGGGGGCAGAGCGCATTGAGGGGGGGTCTTCCCGCCCCCCCCGTGGCGGGGGGGGCACAGGCGGGACCCCCGACCCCCCCCCAGGCCTGTCAGTCACCGTGACCCCCCCGGCCGGGGACAGCGCCGAGGCTGAAGCAGGTGAGGGGCAGGGGGGGCTTTTTCTTGGGGGGGGGGTCCTGTTCCTGCACCCCCCCCACCCTAAACCCCCCCTCCCATCCAGGGACGGACCTCCTGGGACCCTCGGAATTGGGGGATCCCCCCCCGGAGCCCCCCTCCGGAGAGCAGCACGCCGTGGAGGAGGGAGCAGAGAGCGAGAGGTGGGTGAGATGTCCCCCCCCAGAATTTGGGGTGTGTGTCCCCCCCAAACTGTCCTCCCCAAACCCCCCCCACAGGTAACCCCCTCCCAAAACTACCCCCCCCCACCCAAAGGAACTCCTCACCCAAATTAACCCCCCCAAATTAACCCCT